CTGGCCGTGGTTTGTTTCTTGCCTCTTCTGGGTATGTGCCCAGTAGGGGGATTGCTGGGTCATGTGGTAACTCAATTTCCATCTGTTTTAGATATCACCAAATCGATTTCCATAGTGGCTGTCCATACCTACAGGTCCACCAGCAGTGGATGAGAGTTCCTGTCTCCCCACAGCCCCTCCAACACTTGTTACTTTCTGATTTTTTGAATTGGACCATCTTTGAGGGTGTTAGGTGGTGTCTCATAGTTGTTTTAATTTGCATTGCAAGACTATAACTCTTAATGGGAAGAGAAAGCTCCCATCTTTCTCCCCAAGAGTGATTGGTGGTTTTGAACGGCTGACCTTCATGCTAGCAGCCCAACTCGCAACTAGGACACCACCAGGCTGTAAGAGTAACAGTGAGGTGTTTTATCTACCCATCTCACTTGCTCCTCAGGACTGCTCCTCCAGGGCCCATTTTTCAGATGAGGAAGCAGACGCAGAGCAGAAGTAAGACACAGTTTGTGAGCGGCGAGGTAGCTGACTTCAGGCCCCTGCGCGTAACCACTGTGCTGCGTGAGGAAGCGGTGCCAGGGAAGGGCTGCAGGCAGCCTAGAGGGCCGGATTCCCTGTGCTTCTGCCTGGAGTCCATATGTGCGCTACTCCAGAATTTGAAAACCGTGGGGCACTGGCATCTTTGCCCTCCTTGGATCTCCACCACTTCTTGCCTGGGGAACGGGACGCACAGCAAAGCAGGGTGAAAGGAAGTGTGAGCTTTGTGTTGATTTCCTTCTCGAACTAAGCATCGTGGTGAGCTGGAGCCGCTCCAAGGTCACAGGGTCACCCTAGGTCACAGGGTCACTGTGTGCAGCCTCGGAGCCTGCAAGTAGAGGAAGCCAGAGAGGAGGGTTCTGGGAGGTGACTGGACAGTGAGCGATGCAGGCGGGCTCCGTGTTTTATTCAGAGAGACGTGCAGGGGAGCTTTCAGTCTGCAGTGGAAGGTGAGAGACAGGCAGTTCAGTCCGGCTGGTGTTTGTGAGTGTGGGTTTACTCCCAATTCAACAGTAGGTCTACTGGGTGATCTAAAGATGTCTGGGGCCTCAGATTTCCCAGGGTTGTTCTTTGTGTGT